ACTTGTGTTGAATTGAGTGCGAAGATTTTCTTGTGAAAATAACTATATAGATCTGATAAACAGAGCCCCCACTTTAACACAAAGAATCTCTGTTCTTACAACAACTACTAACAGCAGCTTTTTACGGCTTTTGTTGTCCATTGCCTTATATCCAAATGTCAGGTTAAAGTCGCTCCACTAGACTAAGCTGGGTACAACTATTGAACGGAAATTTATTACTGGAATCGGCAATCGCTCATTCCAGTAGTTAACTGATTGTTGACTGGTATGGAACTGGTAGGGAACTGTTAGTAAAGTGGCAGTGATGGTCGAGTAGCTCGATCATGGAGCCACATGGATCGCCTTCTTCGTTAGCAATGTTTCGAAGTAACAGTGATTTAATTGGTTATTAATCATTTAATCGGATTTTCTTCTTTTTTTGTCCTAGGAGGGAGGTCATAATTCGGAGGGCAGACCTTCTGATTGAGTATTTGAGTTAATTTAAAGTATATCAACTAAGATCCTGCCACCGCTCGGACTCGATCCTCGCCTTCCGACTCTTTCTCGGAAACCAGAAGTACCATCTTTTCCTTACTTTATAATTTACTCGCAGAAGAACCGGGGTTGCACGGGTGAAGATTGTAATGTCTGAGATATCGATCCAGGCGACCGCCTGGGGGCAGGAAGCGGCTTCGTGCGGCCAGCCCTGCCCTGGGGGTCCGAATTTTAAAACACCAAATAGCCTATGACCATCCCCGGGCCAAATGGTGAAGCCGTGCAAAGTTGGATCGGACTGGGATCAGAGGCGTGGTCGTGCATAAAAGACAGACAGACACAAAAACATTCAAACATATAATAGATTGTTATTATTGAATCATTGCTGATGCCTTGATTTGGTCAAAGGAATTTCGACGAAGTTTCACAAGTCTGTCGAGAACACGAGTTTCCAAATTTGCAAATATCAACATTTTGGCATAGATAAATTTGCAAAATAACACGAAAGTATATCAAGAAATACATGCATCTTTTATTCTCGTATGTGCGTCGTGGACCCAAGATCTCATAATTATTCTCTCCAAGGAATTCGAACTCTTGATGCTTCAACGAACAATGATGAAAAACAGCCTGACGGCCTAACGGACAAGACAGGGATTTCTCGTCTTTGGACTAATCGAAGGGGACTAACATTTCTTAGCTTAAATTAACCTTTCTCCTCTCTCTTGTATTGGTGCAGTTGCAAATGTAATTTTGCGACATCACAAATTTGATGAGGAAGTGGCTACATTTGCTGCGTCCCACATCTCTAAGAATAATTTTGAGAGCTATTATAATTATTCGCGCATGAATTTCAAAATAAGTTTAGGCGTCTGGAAAAAAATGGGAGGAAGTCCCCCCAAGCATTCTTCACTCCGTTTACATTATTTCAAATTGCGCTGATGAGCACTATTAGTGTTCATCATCATCAATTTTGAAGGTTTATGCTACGTATTGACCAGATGTCTTCATAAGGGGCCTCAATAAAATAATGAACGCAATCAATCACAAATCAATTTTTTGAATAATTAAATTGTCTGTCCAAGTTAACACATTAAGGACGGACCCCGTGTTTACACGGGTTTTCAGATCCATGCGTCAAGGACGGGACCCGTGTAAACATGGATTTTGCGCATGATGAAGAAATAAGCATCTCTTGGCATCTGTTTCGGGATTTTCGAACTTACTGACCATATGCTCTGATTAGGAAGCTTTACGCTTTGAAGCTTTTAAATTTATTATTAAAATTAATATTTTGCTGTTTTTCTATTCGTAATGAAATCAAGAAGCGTTCGTTAGAGCACTTCTCTTCCGTGACCTGCCACTGAATCTCTACGCACTGTTCTACTACAGTATCAGGCAGACTCGTGACTGAAGGGGACTGACTCCAGAACCTCCATTCTTTTCAAGGAAAGACTTAAGAGAACGGAGGCGAAGTCTAATCGGAAGGGGCATCTTGAACCTGAGACATAAAAAGAACTCCCACAGATTGCCTATCAAATGCTCCCTTCCACGCTATTCCCCCTCAGACATTAACCTCGCTTCAAGCTAAATTGACGTTCCAAACCTCATTGAATGCCACGAAGGTACTTGAGTGGCAACCTGCCCGTGTATACGTCACTCTTAAGTTTCAGAAGTGAGGGAGGAGAGGGGGAAAATATACCATTTTGCCCCTCCATCTGGAAAAGTGATGGGGCATTTGGCACCCCTGCCCCCCGCCGGTTCCCACGCCCTTGGGACCTATAAGTTCTCTATAAGAATGTATTAGGCTTCTTAGAGGATCTATTAGGTTCCTATGAGAATCTCATAAGTCCGTGATGGACAGCATATCTGGTAGAGCATTGGTGGATACAGAAATCATTCATAGAAAGGCGCTTCTATATAAGTCCCCCCTCCTCCTCCTTCCCATTCCTGTATCCGCCACTGAGTTAGGGAGAATTGGAAGGACCTGGGTTACAAAAGAATATTCAATCAGCATTGTGTGAACGTTAAATTTTAACCTTTCCATCGTCGTGTGGGCATAGCATCTAACATTAATTCAATATTTTAATGTCGCTTATCACAACACTCAGATGAATGTTCAACACTGGCTGAAGTTTGGGTCAACTTTGTGGTGTCAATGATTGAAATACTCACTCTCTACTTCTGTAGCACCAGATATTGACTCAATACTGGACCAACTTTGGGCACGTTGGCTGCACCTTGCCCAATATACGAGAATAGATTCTACCAATCCTGGGGAGCCAACCTTTTTGTTCGACGGTGCCGCATTACCCCTTAAGGGACCTCCCGCGGACCGCAATACCTGTTTTTAACATTAATATTACATTTACAATAATATTCGGGAAGCGCCGCGGGCCGTAGGTTAAGCACCCCTGTTATAATCCAAAAGAAGTTTCAGTGGAGAGATGTCGTGCAGTAAGAACAGTTCTGTATGCTGTTTCCTTAGGCTGAGTGGAGAATGAAACATGGAAGGAAGTGAGCTCTGGGATGCGTCATCCTGCCCATCAATAAGACAGATGTGCTCATGGGCAGAGACTCGTATTAGTGCAGGCAATACTAGTCCTGAAGTTAGAAATTCCCCGCTATGGTAAAACCCTTACTCGGTAATGAAAGTACAGCACAAAACAACGCCCATGTTGACTTAGGTGGTCATCCCATTCAGTAGTAATCCTGGTCGTAAAGCCAGGGTTTCGAAACCCAAAATTCCTCACCGAATCCTGTAGGTCAAGAGTCTTATAAGACCCTATAGAGAGCCGAGAGGTTTTTTGTCTTTCAAAAACCTGTAGGAAAAGTCAATAGGTTTCAAATGAGAAATATCGATGAATTTCCTATACCCAAGCCACTTTTCCCACACTTTTTCGTATACCCAAGCAGGCTCTCGCACGTGACCACTTTTCTTCGATTTCGTTCGTTTCGAAAAGGTGTTTCAATACAATTTTTTATTTTTGGCACTATTGTATTCAATAATTTTTTTTCTGTTCATGGGCGAAATGAAAATTAAATCTTTACATATCAAGTTTGCAGAATTGCCCGACCAGCTTACACTGAGTAATCCCAGTATAATAAACTCCTATGGAGGAAGTATGCTTTCCTCCCTCAAAATACCATCGATTACTCCCCATTCTGCTGCCAAGGCTTCACATTTTTCTCGAGAAGGTCGTGTTCGTGGTATTCGCAGACAGGACCAGCTTGGTGACTCCACTAATCCTACCCATAAGGAGAAAGTGGGTAGAGCTACGTGGGTAGAGCACGACGATGACAACGTTGATATTGGAGAAAATCGCAATTGTGGAGGCCCAATGAGCATTTTTATAGAGTTTTAAAGCTCGTCTCATTCTTTAGTCTTGCAGTTTTTTTTTTAGGCAAGTCCCTGTTCCATTTCGACTGTTGCTCTATGAGCTCTTGGTGCAACTGGTGCTGAGGTTTTAGAAGCGCCCGGGAAAAAAAAGCGAGTCTATTTTTCGATTTACTAATTTTTGTTGTCAGCAATACTGTACAGTATATTTACATTATTATAATATGATTATATTCAGTTATTCTAGTTATTTAAATGAGTTTTATGCATACTGAACTCATATAATTTTCAAATCAGACAATTAATGCATAGAAATGTAATCATTGGGTACTGTAAGTACTGGGGAATATTTCGACGTACCACTCACACGCCAAGCGGACAAAAGGGGTTCAATTTCAAGAAAAAGACACAAACTGATTTGCGAGGCTTCCATATGGAATTCGGTTAAAGAAATCCCTTCCGAAACTACGATAAGCATTATCTTCTTCATGATGATTGCTTTGTCATTCCCAATTTCCCGAGTTCATACAAGTTTGGAGATGGTGAAAGTTGAAAAATTAATAGGATTTCTTTTAGTTCCATTCCAGACCGACGTCCACGAGACGGCGGCTATCACTTGTTTCTTGCTTTTGACGCATTGTTCTACACGATCTCTACGCCGGCTATTAATGGTATCCAAACTCAGCACCAAACTGGTCGATCTGTCTGGATGGTTGTAAAAGGGTTTCAACTTGTCCTTGTCTCAACGTTAACTGGCAGGTTCACCGAGCCCCACATCTTACGGATATGATTTTGGAGCCATCCTCAGATTGCCAATTTTGTGAATGTGGAGGAGAGCAAGGGTATCTGAGATTTGGGTCCAAATTTTTTTTTCATATACTGAAAGTCGGTAAAATGGATATAAAATTGACTTTGATCAAATACTTTAATGAATGTTCCTCTCACGTGGACAATTTCTTATATATTATCAAATGTTTTTTTGACAGTATTGTTTGATTTTCGAGAGTTAAACGTACCTTGTACCATTATTCTGCCGCTAGGTCACCACTTTCGGTTTATTCCACGTGATTGCCCATAGCATCAATGGAAGCAATCAGCACCAAATATGTTAACTTAAATAATCAAAATGTTGCTTCTCTGAAATGCGCATTCGCTTAAACACCTTCCGCAGAAAATCAAGGCAATTCGATGAGAGTTCATGAAATGTTCTTTTATTTCAACGCAGGAGAAGTAAAATCATCAGTTTCAGGTCTGAACCCCCACGCCGTGGCGACCCGAGTCGAGAAGCATTTTCCTCTCGGCAAAGCATCCAAGCCGGAAGGATCCGACCGTGGGTACATCAAATTGGCTCAAGTGTGGACCGAAGCCAACGAATTGTCCGTCTTGCATCCCAATGCAAAGCTTGGCACCACCGAAGTTTGGTTGCCTGGTGAAAACGCAAGACCTCTGCAGAATGAACACGAACTGCAAAAAAGCTTGAATAAATCCGACAACTCACGTGTAAATGGTCCAATCGCTCCTACCGGTGATGATGAGAGAACCCACGGTCGTCAATTGCTCCGGCAATTGGGGGACGTCTTGCACTGCGTAGAATTCCAACCCGGAGAAAAGTTCCAATTCGTATATATTCATCGTGTCGGCCTTCCAGTTGAGCGTGTCCCCCGCATACCTACAGCGTATTCCTTGCAGCATCAAGACAGCCATGATTCAAATGTGTAGAGGAATGTGAGCTCACCTCATCGAAGAAACTTGGTTGTTGAACTGGAGGTTCCAACACTTGCCATCGCCCGAGTTCCATTCCACCGTCCCGACACCCTCGTAGTTGTAGGAATATTCGGAATAGAATATCCAACTGGAAGGGCAAAAAATCCCCGAATCAGAAGAATCGTATATGTTTTTGTACTTCCTCCAAAAGCACGATTCCCTTCGCTCAGCCTATGACCGAGAAAGTCATAGCCCTTAAGGCTTCGCGCGTTAGGTTAGGGTAGCAGAGGCTTAGGCCTGAATGGCCGAAATTTGCTGACAGCGAATGTGTTACGGTGGTTTCACGGAAAACTCCGCGAAATCTACCGGTGAGCACCCTTAAAACTTTTGTCAAATTGAAATGCAATGACTTTTGAAGGGTAGAACTTAGGCAAACCTTTGCCTGAACCCCTCTACCTATTTCAATATGATCCCCACGCGTTGCATAACGTTTCGTACTCCCGCCCCCCTCCCGCCCAGCGCGCAAGTACCACTCCGAACGGCGCATCCATCTGACAACCTTTGGAGAGAGGAATGCATGCTTGTGGATAGTCTTTAGGATGGATGGATATCGAGCCCCCAAGATTCATGGATTACTTTTAAGTACTCTATCGAAAGACCTGTAAATTAATGGAAATGGAGTTCCCCACGGAGGAATTATTATTGATGAAAAGACAAATAATGATATGATATGCGCCAGAAGTGGTCCTCTTTCGCCTGAACGCCATAACGAAACTGACAAATGCCGTCCACGGGGGACTTTGTGATGCAGCTGTTATTTCAAGGGTCCCGGACCTTGTTCCAATCAGGGTTGCCAAGTGGTCTTGCTATTCTGAGCAGCACTGGAGGAGAGGTGGTTCAGTACGAATCTTTATGTAGCGCATGAAGCTTCGGTTTGTTTAATTCGATTGATTCTCCATGTCAGAACTCCTGCAGGGTTTTGTGGCGTGACCGAGGAAGAGTGTTCCCACTACCATGCAGCAGCAGTTACAAGGTAGTCACGTCTAAGACATGGACAAACAATATTGCAAGAGATCCTGTTGCAATTTAGGCAAAAGTGCCTGAATTGCAACGGGATGAAATTAAATTGCAGCAGTGTGCTCCGCGCAAATTCACGTCCAAAAATATGAACTTGAAATCGTGCGGTTCCTATGTAATCGCCTTGAGGTTGAAACCACTCGAAAGCTCGCGTTTCTTACTCGACTGGCTTCAGATTTCGAAGAACGGCAAGCGATCATGTGCAGGGCAAGTGTCCTTACATTTTGGCTATGTAAATTGACCAAAACAACGTTAAAATCAAATATTAAAATTAAATCATATTCATGGATGACTTATCAATAAGCTTTACCACTGAGGCGCCACTACCACCTCTTACAGCCATCACGTATCTAAAAAAAAAAACATTTCTTAATCAGAATTGGTCCATTACGGTGATGAGAGTTGAAGAAAGCTATCCGCTTAATCCTTTTCCGCGCACCTTTTCTGTTTACACTTGAGAAACTGGCAAATAGAATATACATATTATGTTTGAAGAGACGACCAGAGACGAGTAACACTAGTGCTTTCTCTTGCCCAACTATGATGCATTTTACAGATGGGGCAGAGAGGGCACAACACACCCCATCCCCCTCTTCAACTCTGGCAACTATGGGTCAGTCTGAGCGAAAATTTCTTTTCTTACAAATCTGATTTAGGTAGCATCGACATTTGGCGAGAAAAAGAATGTTTGTGCGTAAAGTAGGTTTTCCCCCTGAGAACGATTAGAAAATGATATTATTCGCGAAAATAAATATGTTTTGGTATTTTCCAGAAACACCAGTGTCTAGCTAGAATCCGAAATGCACGTCGATTTTTACTGTGATTAGTTCTTTATATCTTTAAGTTATTGTAGGTAAACAAAAGTGAGATAAACCTTAGGAAACATAGATCGGGACTATAAGTTGTCTCCTTTCAAGAAAAATAATTAAAAAAGGAGACGAGGGACTCACGCGCCGACGATGCAAGAGCTGGAGATCATGTCATCCCCGATGTTGGGATCGCAGTTGAGGAAGTTCGGGCAGTAGTCATCCCTCTCACTCCAAGCTCCGCTTTCGTCGCTATTCACCCGATCGTAGATGGTCGCAATCTGCCGCTGGGCCAAGCTCATTGCTAGGCTCAGCACAAGAAACCCGACGGATCGTTTCATGGTTTTGGTCGTCGTTCTTTGTCCGGCAGGTATCTAGGTTCCGCGAGGTGGTGTCGTTGCACTTTATCTGTGAAGATTTGCAGGTGACGCTGAGGGGGTCCTGTATCATTTTCCTTCGGTCGCCTCGGCCCTATGATTCCCCATGGTGGAGGGTAGGCGGCGATAAGTTCAATATTTCCTGTTTTTAAAGTGCAGGTATTCCCTATGACGCATTTAGGAATGATCTAAAGAGAACAATACTTTACAGTGGAGCCTTCAACAGCACAATAATGGCGAGTTTGGTGAATTATGGGTTTAAGCGGATGGTCTTTGTGCAACGTAAAATCGAAAGTTTTGTTATGCCAGGAGTTATGGCAGGAAAAGAATCAGCTCCGACTCTTAGGGTTGAATTGAACGGAAGTTCCTCATCATGGCGTGGTTGGGCATGATTACGGGAACTTTTCTAGTTTTTAAGGCTCAAATGACTTTCAAAGGAGAATGAACCGGATTTTGAAAATGAAAATTAAGCATGATGTAAAGCAAGTCGGGGAATCTGACATCTTTTCGCAAAGGGAAAACATAAAGGGACTGGAGGAAAGGTAATTTTAAAAAAAACGGCGCATTCAGCGGTGGTGAACTCTTCCTGCATCGATAAGAGCCCCCAGACTTCCAAGAACAGGAATGTGGACTCACTTTGAAGGATGAGACTTGCGCTGCTGGCGTCTGACTTGTTCCAGCATTCATCGTCTCCAAATTCGCTTTTTCCTTCCTAAATGGGACCGCTTTGTTCAGAAATGGCTTGGACGATGGCTGGCAGAATAACAGGAATTTAGAAGCCTAGGAGAACGAACGGGCTATGGCACATAAGAAAGCCAAGGAAAGTATGAATACCCGGGATTTTCCCCTGTTTTCCCGACACTCCGCAGTTTATCCCAATATGAACTGGCGTTACGACTACATTCTCTGTTCCAGGTTATCGCCATGCATAATCTTTCGGAATTCACCATCACAGAAAAATCCGAAGTAAGACCCACTACCTCTAAAAATCAGGAATTTCAGGAATTCGTTTATAACATTAAGGAAAAAGAGACACAGACCTTAAAAGAAACTCACCTACAGCACGATTGCATCACATGAGAACGCCGCATCAACGCAGCAGCTGAGGCAGCAGCCTTCGCAGTTGTCTCACGTGACGCAATGGCTCACAGCCCCTAGAGGGTCCCCCGCCCTCCAATTCAATCTCATCGACGTTTCGCTGCCGTCTCACTCCCGAAGCATCAACAGACACGATCGCAGACGATCATCAACCTTCAATCCGTTACGTTGACCTCATCGATTCGCGACATCCCTAAATTTTTCCTGCATTTTGGTCTGAAAAATTCCCTACAATGTTTCGAAGGACCATTCCCTGCCTTGCATAGCTTGGATGGTCTATTCGTCTTATTCTTCGTCTTCTATTCTTGCGTTTTGTCATTAAATTGTGGTATAGGAAGAGCAATAAATGACCGCACGACTTAAAAAAAAACCTTTCGAGCAAAAACATCATGGAAGGAAAATGTTAATGCAGGTGTGTGCATGAATGGCGGACGTTCACTTCTGTCATTGTCAAAAGACATCAGAACTGAAGGTGCTTCCTCGCGAGTGCTAACAAATTTTAAAGTAGTTTTCTTATCTCTGACCAACCCACGGTTCCTCGCTCGAGAGGCACCCGATTGCAGCACTGCACAGACCGAAAACCCCCAAGGATACAACGCGGCGGTCAGCCGAGCTTATTTTCGGATATTTCTGCAGATGGACCACTCTTCTGCCTTTCCTTTTATCTCTGAGGCAGCGCGAGAAACCTGCACCATTGTGTCGAGGGAATTTCCTCGAGGAGAAATACGGTCAAGAAGGAATCTGACTGATTCTGCATCTGCCTCTCACTAATCTCTCCTCTTTTTCGCTGCAACATTATTGAAAACGATATTGGGAAACCTTTCCTGCCTAGTTTCGACGAATTTCACAGAACAAACAGTCTTTACTATGGAAACAAAAGGTCTCCAGTCCCCATTCTCTGTCTAATTATCTGCATATCTTCATTAAATTGAGTTAAAAGGTCAGCCTACCCATTCAAAAACATTTGCTGGTTTATGGTCGGACCAAAGTTGGGGAAGTTGGCTCATTTTCGGTGAATGCCGCTGAGAAGGTTCCTAAAACCGGCGTTTGGGATGGAGCCAAAGTGGCCATAGTAGAGAGTTGATTCCCGGATTCTTCTGAAATGAGTCTAAAGTATGCCTAGATACTTAAAGTGGATAAGATGAACTATAATGACTTGTTGAACAGGACGCAAACTTGGTAGTGTCAGATGATGCACTATGACTAAGGCTGAATTTTTAAATAAAACATTCATGTATTGATAATCCATATTTATGTTCATTGAGTGCATGCTAGGAAACTGAATTTCGAACTAATTTTTGTCAGAGAATAATTGGGAGATCTGTTGGATTATCATTAAGAGGAAGTACCTATGGCTCGATAGTTCTATCTCACTTAGGACCTGATGGAATGTTCAGGAACTGAAACGTATTGTGGCATTTAAGTATGACATTGCAAGTCTTCATGAAGTACCATGTCTGCTACTAACATTAACTACATCAAATAATGTAAGGTACAACCTGCAGAATCCTCTGAAGTTTGACCCTCTATTTCTCAAGTTAGTAACTTTCCCGCATAGAACCTTGTTGAACTGAGGTGACGAAATATCCTCGCATTCCCATGCGATTCCGCTCCTGGATGACGCAGCATCCGGAAGAGATTTTCCCTGGAATTTTCTCAGCCCCTGACGACAGGAGTGTACCTGAGTAAGGGACTCCATTGATCAACCAAGGGACCAAGTGATGCATTCACATTTCTCCAAGGTGTATAATTTTGTAGAAGAAGTTTATGTGGATTTGTTTTCCTATATATTTTCATCATTGTAAAAAGTCGGCCATTGGTTGGGGCTTGTGCAGTTTCCCAACAATAAACCAAAATTGGCTGGATGAAGGACAAGCATGACATGCCTGACAATAAGTCGGCTTAAACCAACCGCAAGTCAACCACACGCTAGTGATGGCCCGACTAAGGCTTATACACGCGTCGACGAAAAGCCATCGATGGACCGATGAAAAATGTTTCACTTGATAATGCCGAATCCATAGCGAATGCACGGCGTCAGTGGGAAATTCATTTTTCCTCCAGGCCTTTTCCGCATGTACTAAAAAAATGAACTCCAGCAGAATCTGACAGCAGATCAAAGAAGATGGTAGGACTCTTGGAAGACTCCTTTATTTCAATTCAGGATGAATGAAAGGATAAACGATTAATTTCTGGCGCTGATTTCCACGCCGCGCTGGTCAGACCTGAGAAGGATCTTCCTCTCGGCGAAGCATCCTCGCCGGAAGGATTTCACCGTGGGAATATTGAACACGCTGAGGTACGGTGCAAATCCCACGTCTTGTCCCTCCTGCGCCCCAACGCAAACACGGGCTCCATTGTAGTTTGAAAGCCTAGCGAACATGAAGTCTTTTTTTTTATTCTGAGTATTTTCCAAAGACTTGAAATTTAAAAGCATTATAAATCAGTTAGAAAACATAAAAATTAATTATCAGAAATTTGGACGCATAGAATTAGAACAAACTCACGAGTAGAGAGTCCAGTATTCTCGACCGGTGATGATGAAGGAATCCACGGTGTCCATTTCGACAGGCAACTGAGGCGTGTCCTGTGTCTCGAAAAACTCCATCCCGCAGAAATATTCAAACTGATACAAATTCAGGGAAGGGTCCTTCCAGGCGAATGTATCTCCTGCATACCTGCAGAAAGACCGCTGCAACCGCTGCAACCGCTGCAACTGCTGCAGTGGAGTGGGAGCTCACCTCAAGGACGACACTTGGTTGTTTGCGATCCCCAAGTTCCAGCAGTAATAATCGCCAGCGTTGTACTCCACAACGCCGGAACTCTGACTGTTGTAGTTAGATTCGCCGTAGAAAATCCAACTGGAAGTGAAGACCGTGTAATAAGCCAACGGAACATGACCGACACAGAAACTTATTAACCGAGAAGCATCAAGTGGATTCCGTGTAGAACCTCAGTTCTTTTACCTTTTCAGAAAAAAAAATCATTTTTTGCAAGAAGAAAAAGGAGACGAGGGAGGCTCACACGCCGGTGATGCAAGTGCTGGAGATCACGTTGTCCCCGATGTATCGGTCGCAACTCCGGAAGTCCTGGCAATACGAATTCCTCTCACTCCAAGCTCCGCCCTCGTCGCCCTCTAGCCAATCGTAGATGAGCGCAACCTGCTGTTGAGCCCAGCTCATCGCTAGGCTCAACGCGAGCAGCAAGACGGATCGCTTCATGTTTCTCTCGCCGTTCCTCTCGATATCCTGCAGGTTTCTGCGTTCCACGAGGGGATGTTATTCCACCGTTATCTCCAGATATTTTGGGGTGACTCAGCCGGACCCTGATATCGCCTTCGCGTTTTCGCCTTGACTCTGTCGTTTTCGTTGCGAATGGTGAAAGGAAGTCATGACGCAATTTTGCATCTACGCAGAAAGCAATTTCTGCAGCGAGCAACTTTACATCCATGCAGAAAGGCATGAACATCTTTCTGCTTGGATCCTTTCTTTGCGTAATAAAGTGTCTGAGACTGGGGAAGCGGAAGATCCCTGATGATGATATTCAATGTTAAAATGTGATGCTTAATAACATATTATTAATGTAACTCATGAGTATTGCAGGAAACGTTCAGCTGAGATGCGTAGGCTGGCCTCCCTTCAAATTTAAGGGTGCCATTTTCATTGCAATTTTCCCTGAAAATTACTTATATGAACCTTTTTTGCCTCTGAATTGCATCATCGTCGAATGCAAGGAAAATATCCGTGAATTTCACAAAGAAGCGGGCCTTTTTTAAAATAAGATACTCGGTTGAGGAGGACCAGAAAAAGTGTCTATTTCCGCATGCCCTCCTGCAATTTAAATCTAAAATGATACATATTTGCATTACTGACGCAAGTTCTCCAGTCCACTACCGGCTATATGTTGTTTCCATGAAGTTGATCAAGATGAACAATCGAGCGAATGCCAAATGGGAGCAAGTACCACCGATTGCACAATGCGTCAGCGTGAAGTTTAAGTCTGCAGATTAGAATAGCAATTCCCGCAAGCGACGGATATGGGCTCAAAGTCTTAGCTGAAGGTCCTACTCAGCGGTCCGCCCTTCCGACCCTCGGAAAGGGCAGATATTGCCAATTTCTGATTCTTCCGTTCAAGTCTTAACCTCAAAACCGCAAAGACTGCACGAATCGATCCATCGCCAAGCGCAACTCTACGTCATTCACGAAACGCTTTATTTTCGCTTGGAGAAGTCGATCGGCTAGTCGATGATTTGGCGGATTCTGACCTCGTTGCGAATTTGCGGGCCTCCAATGCAAAGTGCCACTTTTATATTTCTTCACCTCGCGTTAAAGCCAAGTTCAACTGAATTTTTTTTTTTAAACCGAGTGTCGGGGCGTAGAAAGGTTTTGTTGAGAAGCAGAAACACGCGTTTCATGTTGTAGGAAATCAATCGGTTGGTTAATTACCTGTCAGGGTGAAAAACTCGACATTGCAAGCAACTTCGATTCTTTTTTCCCTCGGCAATTCACAATGAAACTCAGCTTCATGAAGCACAATTTCACGCAAATTCAAGAATTGACCGAAAACCCGAAGACTTTATTTCAATTTGCAAAGCACTGAGCGATCAATTCCTGGCCCTCACGACCGAGCCGTGCCGACCCGACTCGAGCCGGACCGACCTGTCGGAGAAGCACCCCCGCCGGAACGACCCGACCGTGCCGACCCCGAAGGCGGTCAGGTCCGGCGCGAAGCCCACGTATTGGCCCTGGTCGACCCCGAGGCAGACTCGGTCGCCGTCGTAGTTCGGCAGTCTGGAAAACGCGAACCCTCGTCTTCAACTTAATGAGCATTTCTCAAACATGGCAAATGGGATGGAAAAAATCGTGACATCAAAATATTCCAATAACATATATTTATTTATCTATTATATTATATTTACCTATTATATTAAAGTGTCTATAAATTTAAAAGAACATTTAAAACCTTCAGGTGAAATTTTTAAGAATAAATTGAAATCCCAATGAAGTACAATACTTTTGTAAAAAAAAAACGAAACTCAGAAATCTAAAAAAATTTAGGGGAGAAGAACTCACGAGTAGACCGTCCAATTGTTTTCCCCCGTGATGATGACGGACCCCACGCCGCTCAGCTGCTCGGGAACCTCCGTCGCGTCCACCCACTCGTGGTATTCCAGTCCGAAGAACAGGTCGAATTCGTAGAGCGTGATCGTGTCGATCTTCCAGTTGTACGGATGTCCGACATACCTGCAAAGCGACAGTCACTTGACATTATTGAATTTAAGAAGTATGCATTAAAGAATATTTAAACAATTATAATCATAACCATTTTTTACATTTAAAATAATTTAAAAGGTAAGTATTATACTGTTATATTTTAAATGATTTGAATTTTTGGTATTATATATTATATTTTAAATTAAGAAAAAATTCAAATGTCTATATAAAATATATGTAACAAAGCCATAAAGTAATGACATTTCAAAACGCTTCCCGAGTCGCTCACTTGAGCGATGAGACTTGGTTGCTGAGAGCCCCCAGGTTCGTGCAGTAGTTAGTGCCGTGGACCCACTCGACGCCGCCGAAGTTCTCGTAGTTGTAGAAGTATTCCGAGTAGAAGAGCCAGCTGGAAGGAGAGAGCGATCGGAATCGCCGAATGTTGAAAGGCGAAAAAAAAACTCGGATTTCCCATAATACTAAGACGACCTAATACTGTTGTTTATCGAGCAGAGTTTGAAAGCAGAAAGCACGATTTCCTCCCCCCTCAAAAAAAGCTAATAATAATAATAATAAATAATAATAAAAAGAAGCGTGGAAACTCTGATGAGATTGAGTGGAATGAGATTAGTTAATTTATTTAATTTATATTTATTTATATACAGTATATACAGGGTGTCCAAAAAAAATGTATACACACTTCATCAACCCATAACTCAGTAACCTTTTCTCTTTTTCAGTTGCAAGTTGGTTGTAATAATGCAAAATCTCGGTGATGTCCGCGGCGAACCCCGCGAACTTTCCCGACTCGACCGTGAGGCAGGCACTGTCGCCGCTGTAGTCTGGAAGCCTAGAAAAGCCGAAAACCTTATCTTCAGCACGATTCGCATCTTTTTTTATGGAACGAGAATAAAACTGAAAAGTTTTACGAAGATGTTCGACAGCTGTTCATTTAATTCTAAGACCATAGCTCATAGTTCCACGATGAATTATGCCGTAGCAGTAGTGCTGCATGTAATGACGAACTTGACATTGGTGTCTGCAAGCCAGCTACAGAATACTACCCTGCAGTGTTTTGTCAAATTGACTTTTTTGTGCGGCGCAGGTTAACTTCTTCCGACGCGGACCGAAATGACTCTGGCGTATGGAGAAGACCGTTTATCGAAGACCCCAGCGCTTTGGTGGTATAAACACATGGAATTCTTGAGGAGGATCGTCGCCTATCCATCCGTGATTAATCTTCAACTCATCATGGCATTCGGTATGATTCCCAATATTTCCCTTGCCTCGGGATCCACTTTTCCCAAAGTCTATAAAGAGCTTGGAGCATTCGCAGTGACTCATTCGTGGCAACCTCCTTCGTTGGTCGCTGCTGACCGGAGAGCGTCTGCGTCGTCGAAGCGGCGGTCTAAGAGAAGGAACTTCATTCTGGGAAACAGCGTGAAGGCGCAAGGTCCGGTGAGCACGGAGGATGTGGGAGCACTGTCACCCCACGATTGGTTAGAAATTTCATGGCTCTGTGGTGGTCTTCGATTATTTTGAACACTTGCGTTAATGCATAATTTTTTCTCACATTTTTTCTTCATTATAAAATTATAAAATTGAATTTATGAAATTAAACATAGAAGTAATTAGCAATCAAAGTGTGTATACATTTTTTTTTGACACCCTGTATAAATATTTATTTATTATTGTTCAACCTTTCAGGCGGTGACTGTGAAACCAGGGTTGATTTTGGAGCTTACATTTAAAATTACTTCCGGCGAACGGTACAGGAATTCATATTTCTGGGAAATGAAATCGCGTTTCCTCGATTCTTTGATCCGAGGTCGAAAAGAATTCCCCCCAGAAATTAGGGGGGGCGGGGAGGAAATATATTTTATTCAGCTGCTAGGAAATTCCTTTATTCTGCCGTCATGCAAAAGAAACTGAGAAAATTGTTTACTTATCGCAATGCCAAATAATATTCGGGGGGGGGGGGGGAAGATGAGATAATGTGATTATTTTCCCTCATGAAATTTCATGTGAAATTTTGGAAAACTGAAGTCGTATTAGTGTTCTCACCTTTTTCGAGCTGTGAGATATGCTGGATGTTTTTAGCCAGAAACTCTAGGGTACTTCATGAATAATTTGAAGTAGAAGTACCCAGAAACAATACCTCAGAAACCTTATTCTAAATTAAGACACGAGTATGGCCGAAAAAATTATTTACAGATTGGAACGGGGACTCACATGCCGACGACGCAAGTGCTGGAGACCGTATTGTCCCCGATGAAGGGATCGCAATCCCTGAAGTCCGGGCAATACCCGATCCTCGAACTCCAAGCCCCGCCCTCGTCGAAATTGGGCAGGTCGTAGATGGTCGCGTTCTGCAGTTGAGCCCAGCTCATCGCCAGGCTCAGCAGGATCAGAAGAACGGATCGCTTCATGGTCGGTTCTCCCTCGACGATCCTCTCGATGACTAATCGCTGTTTTTCAGATCCCATTGACGCGTTAGTGGATTTTGTCTGGGAACATTTCCACCTGACGCCACGAGACATAGAATTCTCCCCTCCATATCTTTCAGGGATTTCCAATGTGACTGGAGAAGGGAAGATATGGACAATATTTCTGACCCCGAGTTTCGAGGACCTTCGATATTCGAGCACGACAGTATCCAAACTTCAATTCGAAAATAGTATTCGTCATAACAAAGTATACGAGCTTAGTGCAGGCCATTAGATCGCCAGAGAAAAGGGAAAGGGAAAGGGAAGCGAATGCAGAGAAATCCAGTCTTCATTCCGTACTTTCCAGGCTGTAAACATTCATCCCCATCCTCTTCACAACTCTCTTCGTGTCGATGACTGGCCCAGTGGAGGACGATGGAACGTAGGATGGAGGAACGTAGCAGGAGAGCGAGCCCACAAGGCCCAGCGTGTGGTACCGGAACGCGGGCGTGGCACTCGAGTACCACCCGATCACGATGGCCAGGTTCTTCAGCAGGTTCACCGAGAAGTAGACGACGAAGAGGATCAACTCGCGGGTCACCAGCGCCGAAAAATCCACCTTGTACCGTGTGAAGGTGAGAGGGCGAGATGAAACCAAAGAAGATGAAAATGGCGATCGTTTGGAGATCCACCGGGCTCTGTAGTACCGAGTAAGTGATGGACAAAACTGATGACTGAGGCTTAAGAGTCTGGATTTATCATCAAAATGGTCACGATACTTTTGAGAAATATCTCTTGGTATGAGGTTATGTGCCAGCGTGAAGCTAGGCGTTCGTTGCCTTTGGGTGCAATATTACTTCATCTCTTCAAAAAACAAATTTGAAATCATGCGCTCAAAGAGGAGCTCTGCACCTTTGAAGACTGTCCCCAGGCAGTGCACAACGTTCTGCCTACGGTGGCTTTTTGTGGGAGAGCGTGGGCCGACATCGCAACATATTTTTCTGCCTGTAGGAAAGCCACCTGTCTTTGTTATTCAAAGAAACAAGGTTCCCACAAATGAAGCGAGATTGCGCCAACGTAGCCGCTATTTCAGTGTTATCAGGGTCTCGCTACAAATTCCCAGTAATTTTCATGCCGAACATTATCATTTCCGATTGGTTGAAAGTTGGCGATACACAATTGCCAACTTTCAACCAATACTGTTTAACCAACAGGTTAACCAATAGGAACCATGATTCAAAATGCGTTCAAACTTTTAGTGCTGATTGAATTCGCTGATTAAAAATGATCATTTTTCCAAGGGCAACCATGGCCGACATTAAGTCCTTCACCCTTTAGATGAATGCGCGGTTACGGGACACCTGTGACAGGTCCGACCTCTTTATAATCACTTGATTCAGAAAATTCCTATTTTGTTTTTAAAAAATCCGGTGCGCGATGTAAAACAATGAAATTTTGCAGATGAAGCCGTTAGCGTTCAGCGAAATAGATGTCGAGTTATTTCGATGTTGGAAACAACAAATAAAATAAATGAAACAGGCGAGACCCGAAGACCACCCCTTTATTCACGTCCGAGTCGAGTAATTATTTCCTGGCCTTCACCGCAACGCCGTGTCGATCCGAGTCGAGCCGGATCGTCCTGTCCGAGAAGCAACCGAGCCGGAACGATCCGACCGTGCCGATGCCGAGAGCGGTGATGTCCGCGGCGAACCCCGCGAACTTTCCCGACTCGACCGTGAGGCAGGCACTGTCGCCGCTGTAGTCTGGAAGCCTAGAAAAGCCGAAAACCTTATCTTCAGCACGATTCGCATCTTTTTTCATGGAACGAGAATAAAACTGAAAAGTTTTACGAAGGTGTTCGACAGCGGTTCATTTAATTCTAAGACCGTAGCCATAGTTCCACAATGAATTATGCCATAACAGTAGTGCTGCATGTAATGACGAACTTGACATTGATGTCTGCAAGCCAGCTATAAAATACAATTTTCGTGTCCGTATTTCGTTAGACAAATTGACTTTTGTGTGTGGCGTAGGTTAACTTCTTCCGACGCGGACCGAAATGGCTCTGGCATATGGAGAAGACTGTTTATCGAAGACCCCAGCGCTTTGGTGGCATAAACACATGAAATTCTTGAGGAGGATCGTCGTCTATCCATCCGTGATTAATCCTCAACTCATTCTAGCATTCGGTATGATTCCCAATATTTCCCTTGCCTCGGGATCCACTTTTCCCAAAGTATATAAAGAGCTTGGAGCATTCGCAGTGACTCATTCGTGGCAACCTCCTTCGTTGGTCGCTGCCGACCGGAGAGCGTCTGCGTCGTCGAAGCGGCGTTCTAAGAGAAGGAACTTCATTCTGGGAAACAGCGTGAAGGCGCAAGGTCCGGTGAGCACGGAGGATGTGGGAGCACTGTCACCCCACGATTGGTTAGAAATTTCATGGCTCTGTGGTGGTCTTCGATCTATTCCCGCCCTACGCTATTCTCCTAATTATCGTGTGGTGTTAGTTGCATGAGCGATTTCGCAAAGGAATTCCTCGAAGAAGACGAACGCAGTGAATGGCCATCGGAAAGCCGTGAGGATGTACGGGCCCTTTCCGAGCTTGTCCGTAATAACCGCTGGCGTTCAATCATCACCATGGAATTTCTAACCAATCGTGGGGTGACATTCTTCCCACATTCCTCCTTCCTCACCGGACCTTGCGCCATCGCGCTGTTTCCTAGAATGAATTTCCTTTTTTTAGACCGCCGCTTCAACGACACAGACGCTCTCGAGTCAGCTGCGACCAACGCGTCGGAAAAAGGCTGCCATGAATGAGTAACGGCCAGTGTTCGAAACTCTTTACCGTGGAACTATCCATAGCACATCCCTGGTCTAAGAATTATATGAACATCCTTCGCATTTAACGGTAAGCATTTTTTTTTAGAAATGTCGACAATCGGTCCATTTCCCACGTGTAGAGCGTCCAGCTTTGCGTCCCCGTGACGATGACGGACCCCACGCCGCTCAACGCCGGCACTTCCGCCGTGCTATTCCACTCGTGGAACTCCAGCCCGGCGAACAGGTCAAGCTCGTACAAGTTCATCGTGTTCTTCTTCCATTCGAACAGGTGGCCGACGTACCTGCGAAGGAAAAGTCGCCGCATTCCCATGGAGTTATTTAGAGATATGCCTCCACTTATCCTAGTAATTAATAGCGTACCATATTTATTTCGACATCTGAAATGCCCCTCTTGATTTCGAAAATGTTTGCAATTGCATGGCTGAAAAATGATCGGTCTTATTTCACATTTTCAAGGCGTTTCAGCTTTTTAACGGTAATAAACCCTGACTAGGAAGTTCCCGCTATATATATTTGTCAGTAATTTTTTCTATTCACTGCATCATTTTTGGTATTTATTACATTCATTTCAAATGTATGCATGCAAATATTTCCATATTACTTCATATGAAAAAATTAAACTGCAAGTCACTAATGCTGCAAAATATCGAGTAATTGCTTGTTAATTGAATTACTTTACCATTTTCAGAGATTTTGGTGAAGAACTCAATAACTAAGACGTTTTTAAGTTCAATAACTAATAAGTTATTGAACTGGCTCAGTTTTCCTTCGAAACGTCTGAAGATTTCGGGATGAACTCACCAAATTGATTTACATGAGGGCATCGCATACATATTTTTTAAATCCAAGACTACGAATGAAGGAAATTATTGGAAATCGAGGCCTACTTGAGCGACGAGACCTGGTCGCCGACGGTCTCCAAGTTCTCGCAGACGTCGTCTCCGTAGATCCATTCCACGCTTCCGTAGTCCTCGTAGTTGTAGAAGTTTTCGGAGTAGAACAGCCAACTAGAAGAGTGGAACGTAAGGGACTTCAACGGATGAGCCTTTCGATGCGAAAGTTAGCTGATTATTTTTCTTTAAATCTTTCCTTTCGACTTTCCCTGAAATACTGCATGACGCAGCATAATTTCGCTCTTGAAATGGCCCTCGTCGCCATTCATGACCATTAAATTTCTTCCCTTTCTTCCTTGGAGTTCTAAATCTGAAGATCTCAAAATATACAAGGTGTTCCAAGAGTCACTTTCTCCTTGGCGCCGTGTAGGTTTCATTCGTTTGAACACTTTAAATATAATTGTTTATCGTTTATTATTGATTTCTTTCATAAAAAGGTATAGGCGGAAAGGATAAATAATAATTTATATGTATTTCAATAAATAATTTTGAAACTTATAAAATATGTACTATGTCGAGAGCGAAGTTACTTTTGGGACACCCTGTATTTTCACGCACTTTGCATTTCATTATAACTCAGGATGCATTGCCGATTGTGACCTGTATGTTTGTGAGCAATCCCATATAATAGGCGTTGTCTCTAATAGGGCTTCATTCGGCTGTAGCCTAAATTTAATTGCACTAAATGTAGCTGACTGCACATAATACATGATAATCATATTTCTGCCAGATAGTTCTTTACAAGCACCACGATGAGATAAATACAGAAAAATGAAGAAAATTCTTCTAAGCTCCTGACTCGAGTTCGAATGTTTTTGGGGAATATCTAATCTTATGTCTATTTCGAATACGGTATTGGAAATCCGGAGATTTACGGCTGCAACGTACCCATGTGTACCTCTGCACCACATCCGCGCAAAGATATGAACGTACAATATACAAAATAAGTACTTCTCGCAATTGCATCTCTCCTTGTACGTTTCCACTACCTGTGCATCAGATGGAAACTCTCTCGAAACGGACAATGAAAGAAGCATCTAAGCTGGAACCCCTAGGTCCCATTTTTTTTAATTAGAGACAAAATCGGAATCTGTAGTTAATACCGACATGAACTTAGAAGTACTCCGGTCATGGACCGTCTCGGAACAGCTCAACCATTTCAGTCGGTTATCGCGAGACATCTCCCGAAACCGTCGCCGATAAGAGTGGGTTTCGGAACACCTGGGCGCGAGCGAGATCCTTCTGGAACCCGGCGGAACGCATTCCTAGATAGGTAACTGGGTCGTTTTTTAGTATTCAAGGACGGTCATTCAAGGTCATGTGTCTGGGAAAGCCTATGACCTTGATCGTAAAATATCCATAAAGCCGAACCAAAATAAACGAACCCCACCCATATTTTAATATCAAGTCCTTTCTGGTTGGCTGGTATTATTTGATATGAGGCAAATTCATATATGAACAAATCTGTGGTAATCTAGCTGATGACTTCACGAAAGATGAGAAAATTCCGAACTTACGGTAGTCCCTTGGGTGGGCACCGGCCGTGGAATTCAATTTAATTTTTGAGCAAAGTCGGAAAAATTATTTCCAGCTGATGTCGAGATGGAAATTTTCGTGTGAAAGTTCAACGAAATTGGATGAAATCCAAGAGAATTTTCTTTCAATTAAAATTGTAACTTTTCTTGAACGCTTGAAGTCCCCAAGTATGTCACCTGAAATTTTGAATAATTGCTGGGATTCCACATTCCCTTTTTCCTTGTGAGATCAGAAATCAATTTGCAAAAAAAAATTGTTTTTCTTAATTCAAGCATTACATGGGTCAGAATCATTGATTTCCTCTCTTTCAGTTTCCATTTAAATCCATAATTCGTGATTTCCGATGTGAAGACAGCCGAAAATTATGCAGTTCCTGCTCGTTCGCCTCCACAGTCGTCATACGAGTCGACGAAACCTTCAGAAGCAATCGAGAGGGATCAGGACTCACATGCCAAGGACGCAAGCACTGGAGACGACGTCGTTCCCGATAGAGGGAACACAGGAGTCCAGTTCCGGGCAGTACTCGATCCTTTCACACCAAGCTCCGCCCACGTTGAAGTCGGGCAGGTCGTAGATGGTCGCGACCTGTCGCACGTCCACGCTCATCGCTAGGTTCATCGCCAGGCTCAGCACGAGCAGCAGAATGATTTTCTCCATCTTTCGGCGTCCCTCCGCGTTCCCCTTGTACTTTTTGGTACTGTCTGGTACTGACTGAATATTTCCAGGTGCCAACGTGGAAATCTGATAGCATCCTCCCGTCGTCTCGTCCGTATCTTTTAGGGCTATCCGACCAGACGCGTGCAGATATGGAAAGTATGACTTAAACCTACAGGGAAATGTCCTCGCCCAAGTGCGTGTACTGCTCCATTCCAGCCTTTTTAACAATAGTTTGGCGCAGTAACTTAATACATTTAACAATTTCAGATTAGTATCTTCTGTTGTTTTCGAGACTTGTATTAATGAACGCCGATTTTTATATGAGCATCTAAAATTTACAGTTGTCAAGAACTCTTAGGTCAGTCCCTAAACTAAGCTGTAAATGAAAGCAGGGGACAAAGGTTGGTTTATTTTCTATTCTTCTATTTTTGAGATCAATATTCCACTCTCTGACTAATAAGAGACTTGGAACCCTTGAAGTCTCGAGTTGGTATCGACAAGAGAAGGGGCTGTTCGAAATGAAAAAGCAAACTGCATCAGAAATTCGGTGAAATCGGCCCCCCTTTCACCACGTTTCCGCATTCTCATTATGAAATGTACACAAAAATAGACATCTTCCTTATAAGTTTTCGTGTGGGTAATTATTTTTGCAACTTCATCATACAGGTGATTTATCTAAAATGGGGAATATCACCCACGAACAATGGTTTACCTCGCCACAGAGAGTATGGAAAGGCGGAATTTCTTTCCTGAAAAATCAGAAACATCCTTCGGTGGCATGAAAGAAACAGCACTGGGTTCAACCCGCCGCGAACGCAAGAGAAAAAAAACCCGCGAGTAATCACGGCCGCATACCACCTCAAACAAGCTGTACACCTCCGCTGACAAGAGCCAGACCATGTGCGAAGCGACAGGTATTAACAGTCGCGGCTCGTAATATTTGGCGCATGTGGTTCGTCTAGGGAGAGGGAGTAGGCAGTGCCCTCCCCTGCCAACTCCCTCTCTATAAACGAATTAGCGCTAAATATCACAAGCCCCCACTGGGTATAAACGATGCTTTATAAATGAATTCGTACCACCTTTTACATGGAGCCAATGCTTTACTATAGAGGGATCCTCCCAACTTGGACTGCGGCGCTTTCGACGCTGTGCCTGGGCGACATTCCTACCTCTTCACCTCTTCACAATTTTCTCATTTCAACTCCCTCTTGTTGCTACTACACAGAAAAGCAGCTAAAGTTCGCTGATTAAATGACCCAATGCATTCAGAAGATTGCGTCAGACGTCAAAGTGGGCTATACCTCGAGTCATGACTCGCCCAGTTAGATCGAGTCACAACTGAATGCGCCCTCTATGTCACTTCAGGCTATGGGCTGGGCCATCCACCCCTCAAAGCGCCAGGTCCATGAGGCTATGTTATTCTATACCATAGGCTTGGCCATCCAACGCTTTTAGCGCCAAGTTCGTCGGGCTTCATCAACATCGCTTCCATGCAATAGTTTTCTGTTTGAGTTTCATGTCATGACAGATTCATCAAGTCAACGTTCTTTGCAATCACGCAAGTTCTTTGTTTCACATGTCGCGCAAGCGGCCCGCTCATACCATTAAAATTGTGGCGATTTTTGTGAGGTGGTGTTGAACGTATAGAAAAAATGTTGGAGGTCCAAAGGACGGCGATGAGGCAGTCGCTGCAGATAAAAAAAAAAAGATTGGTGCTGGTGCGGAAACAACCTTTGCCACTGCAGTTGCGATGCGAAGTGCGTAAATCAGTGCTTTAAGAGATGCCAGCCGAAATGGCTAGAATGAATGAACACCAAGCAGGTGTACGTAGGGAGCTTAGGGCCGCTCAACAGCAAGAGGCAGCGAGTGCTGAACTCCGGAATAGGAGAACCGTGCAGCCAGCTAAGCAATTTGATGCAAGGTTGGCATTTTCAGGAATTAGTATTTAGCGTTGTGCCGCACATGCACTAACTTCCCTCTGTGCCGGCGAACAAGTTCTTGGAAACGGTCCATACTGTTTCAGAATCATTGGTGTCTGTACCATACGCTAACGCTAATAGCCGATGAGCTAATTGGTGATGCAAGAGTGTTGAATGTGTTGGGAAGACGAAATTAGCAATTAGCAGAACTCAGAGTATTTTTGCACGATTTGGTTCCGTAAGTGTTACCACTAACACCGTTAGTCGAGCTTTTAATACTACTACCGCAAATCCTCGTCTTAGAGGGACACATGACATTCGATATACATATGTAATGAAGCGGTTCAGTTACGAGTGGGTAATGCGATGTACAGAGGATTGCCAAGGAGACGTTCTGCTCACAATAGACTATTGAAATGTTCACCTGTTAGACGGCCAGCGTAGCGGCCGCAGGCCGCTAGTCTATATATAATATGAAAGTAGAATTGTTTCTTTACCCAGCTATTCATCAGGTACTTCTTTGTCAAGTTAAACTTTCTAGCACCCAATGTTTTGCTGGATAAGAAAATTCGGGAAAAGTTGCAAAATATGTGCCCTCGGGCGTTTTAACCAGAAAGTACCATTTTCACCTAAGTGTCAATATTATACGTTTGCCCTTTTCGCTGTTGAAAAATCATGTTTGGAAATGCCCACCCACTCAAATGCTATGCCCGGGGTGAATGCACCATGAAAGCTGAATACTCTTTCGTCAATAATATCATGTCACCTATACGTGTGCCAAGTTTCACCTTTCCATTTCTGTCCAATTCGCCACGACAATTTCTTTTCTTTTATACATCGCCCCTCGAGAAATTTTCCCCCAGGGATGTATTAAGACTTAACATTTTTCTTTAACTCTTTATCTTGGTAGTCGCATTCATGCAAAGTTCCAGCTTTCTCTGTCCATCGGTTTAACTAATGCAAAAAAATTATGTGAAAACGTCTCCCTTTGAAATTTATGCCCCCAGGGCATGGATCTAAAATTTTGCTTTTTTTTTCTTGTACTCATTGTGTCGGTAGGCACGTCCATGCCAAGTTTAAGCTTTCCATGTCTCTCCGTTTTATTCAAGCAACGGGACATGGAACGCAAGAGAAGCTAAAAAAAAAAGCATGGAATGAATGGGAATTGAACCCTGGCCTCCCGATTAGCGGTCAGATATGCTACCACTACACCACCGAAACGGTGCCATACAGTAGCAACTTTCGATGACATCCTTATCCATCACGATGTATATTTAAAAAAAACTTCTACCCCCAAAATGTGTACCCGGAGGGAATGTACCTCCAAAGTCGGATTTTTTCTGTACACAGCATCCCAAAACATATTCAAGTTGCCCAGCAGGCTGCATGGCTCTCATATTTCTGAGCTCAGCATACGCTGCCTCTTGCTGTTCAGCCTTACGCTCCCTACGGGCAACTGGCTACTGTTCATCTGTCATTCTAGCCATTACGGCTAGCACCTCCTAAAGCACCGATATAGGCAATTCGCACCGCAACTGCAGTGGCAAACGTTGTTTCCGCGCCAGCATCAATCGTTTATTATCTGCAGCGACTGTCTCATCGCCGTCCTGTAGGACCTCTTTCAGCATTTTTTTTCACGTTCAACCTCACCTCGCAAAAATCGCCATCATGTTGATGGGAGGAGCGGCCCATTAGCGCGACGTATGAAACAAAGAAATTACGTTATTGTTTTGAATTCATCAATCAGAACTCAAATAAATCGACCATGACATGAAATGCAAACAAAAAACTATTGCATGGAAGCGATGTCCCGAACCGCCACGCGTGGCCTAACGGAAAGTAAATCAATACAAAAAAAAACACTTCAGCAAATAATGTATTCAAATGGAGAACTTGTAGTCGATCATTGAAAACATGACACGCATTCAGTTATTACCACCCTTTGATTGACACAGCTAAGAATGAGGCCTATGGCTCAGACTGATATAGCTCGATAGACCTGGCGCTAAAAGCGTTGGATGGCCAAGCCTATGGCCTAGAAAAGCATAGGCTCATGGACGCGGCGCTTTGAGGGGTGGATGGCCTAGCCCATGGCCTGAAGTGACAGTGTTGTAGGCCTCGCGCGCTGGGGTGACAATCACTACCACAACTCTCGGGCTCTTCGAATTAAAGTATAAGAAGATGGCCTGGAAAGGCGTAGCCTTGTAGGCCTGGCGCTTCAGGCCGTGGATGGCCTGGCCTATGATCCAGAATGAGATTGCATCGTAGGCCTGCGAGTTGGGGGTGATAGCCACGGCCACCGCCACCACCGCAACTTTTGACCTCTTCGAATTAAAGTATTAGGATTTTCCGAATTTCGGAACTGACTTTCGAGGACGTTCCTACGTTGGAATAGGTCCAATGAGAAACCTATAAGTTACGATTCGCTTCCAATCGGGATCTTATGGACTCCATTTAGGAATGAATGTTTCCCTAAGGAACCTTACAGGTTCTATAGGAAACCTATAAGATTCCTATGTATTCCCATAGGATTCCTATACATTTCTATGGAATTCCTATAGGACATTTTTGGTTTCAGAACTTTCAACGCATCCTGTATAAGGTTCCTATAAAAATCGCGTAATTCCTATAGGGAATCCTACGGATTCCAATAGTAATCCTACGGGAATGTATTGTAAACCAAAAGGTCTCCTATAAGACCAACGTCTTATAGGAGACCTTTTGGTTGGGACCTATTGGGACCCTATAAGACCGTTGGTCTTATAGGACCGTTGGTCTTATAGGGTCCCAATAGGAAACTCATTGGGTCCTATAGGTCATGGACACTCCCTAGGTCCTAGAGGTAAGTCACTTCCGAAAGCAGACTGTTACTAAAATATATTGCGTACCACTGCGCCAAGGACTCAGGATTTCTCTTAGATTGTCTATTAGTCGCATACATTATCACAGGTCTTTTGAGATATTCCTATGGATTCCTTCCACTTTCCTCAAGGATGACTTGTAGGCTAGGCTGGCAGGAACGTGTCACATTAAGGACATTGCCAGATTCCATGACGAGAAACTCTAATTCCTTACTACTCCCAACCGTAATCAAAAGCAGTGAGTTGTCCTTAGATTAACCTTCAATCGATAATCTTCTATTTTCATCGAGTGATTTCATTTGCGTGGAGAACACATCTGTTAAAGCAGTGTGGGATACAACAATTATTTATCGAAAAGCACTTATATAATCCCATATTTCCTATAATCCCTTATATAACCCCCCCCCCTCCTTCCCATCCCAGTATCCGTCACTGTGCGGGGGAGGGGAGGGGGGGTAGAGGAAGGACCCAGGTAAGAAACGAGCATTCAATCAACGTTGTATAAACGTTAATTTTGAACCTACCCACAGTTTTGGTGGCATTGCATTTAATATTCATTCAATATTTAAATGTCGCTTATTGCAATACTGAAATTAACGTTGAAGTTAACACTGGTTGAACATTGTAATGTCACTTATTGGAACGCTAACTCCCCACCCCAGTAGCACCAGATATTGACTCAATGATTGATCAACATTGAATCGATGTTATTTCAAGGCTATTTGCAACTAGAGTAATAGTGCTAATATCGGCTAAG